AGGCGCGCTCGATGGCACCGGCGCGAGCGCGCGCATCCCATGCGCGCGCCAAGCCCGCTGCGCGCCGCGCGCGCGCGCGCGCACGAAAGCATCAACGCGCGCGTGGAATCTCGGCGCGGGCGCGAGCATTCCAGGCGCACGACGACAGACCGCCTGACCAAATGGCGAGACAAATGCGCCCTGCGGTCAAGCACCATTGAATATACTACGCGAACGGCGCTTCAGGCCTTTTTGCCCTACATCTTCCAGGGGCATTTTTCAGCCGCCGCTCCGGGCTTTGTCGCGGCTCTGAACCGCCGGCGGATTCTGTCGCCCGCCGCCGTGCGCCTGTCGTTGGAAGTTTTGCTTTAGCATTCTGAGTGCGTCGTCGGCCTCTTTCTTAGTCGTCGGCTTTCTTCGGTCGCTGGCTCTTTGTCGTCAAATTCTCGCTGCTTTCGTCGTCTGTTGCTCCTGGGGCCCTCCGCGGTCGCCTCGCGTTCGCAGCCCGATCCACGTTCGGCGCCCCTCGCGCTGTCCGCGCCCCCCTCGCCCCGCCTGGACGCGACGCCCACCCCCTCGAGAGACCGCGCGCAACCAGTCGGGGGGGTCAGCGCTGACCGCGCGCGAGACGTGCGGCGGGAGCCGCGGTTTCATCTATAGAGAACAAATGGACGCGACCAAAGAGCGCGCTTCGCTCGTCGCTGTGACCCCACGGAAATGGACGGCGCGACGCTTCGATCAATTGCGAAGAAGTTCTACGCGAGAGCGCAATTCCTGTTTGCATCGCGAGGGCGCCGTAGGCGAGGGCGCGACTTGGCTCACGCTGCGCGGAGGCATCCGGCGGGGGCCCTCGCGGCGGGACTTCGGGGGCCAGCGGCTCAGTCTGAGACGCGAGACCGCCCCGACGATGAAAGCCGGCGCGCGCCCCTCGACGGGGCACTTCGACGGGAGAAACAGACTGGGCACAAGACGGGGGGTCAACAATAGCATTCAAAAATGACATGCCGTTTGCTGCTTGCTCATCATCGTCTGCTCGCGCGTCATTCAATATGCGCGAGCGTCGGCGTCGGCTCCGCGCAGTCGGAAGGCCCTGGCGCTATTACTAGAGCGGCGCGGAAACATGGCCGCGCGCGGCCTCTGGGCCTTCGCCTCGAAACGCACCCGCAAGGCCGGGCCCGCCGACGCCCCCTCGCACGCGCGACCGCGCGGACGCGGGCGCGTGATGCAGGGGGGGCGCGCGCTGAGCATCGCAGAGGGTCGGAAGCCCAGGCGACGCTGCGCCGCGGCACCCAGGCCCAGCCTCGCGCGTCCAATTGCCCCCGGGCAGACGCGAACCAGCTTGCCCGGCCCCCTCCCGAAAGGGGGGCGGCGCGCTTGATCGCGCGCGATTCGCCCAGGCCACGGAGCACCGCGCGCGCCCGCTGCAGCCGGCCCTTCATGCGAGGGGAAAATCAACCGCCGCCCAGAAGTTGCAGCATTCAGACGGCGGCGACTGGGATCTGCGATAATAACTATATTCGACCAACGCGTCACCCCGCTGGTCTAGGCCGACGCAGTAGATCTGGCTCGCGATCGCCTGCGCCGCGAAGGCTGGGGCCTCTCGGCAATGGGTCTCGATCGCGCGAAGCCGCGCCTGCCGGGCCTGGCGCGGGTCGAAGCGCCCGGGCCCCGCGCCGCCGGGCCGCCCGATCTCGCCGGGGCAACCAATCTGCCGCGGCCGCGCGAACGCGACGCCGGATGCCGAACGCGAATCCGCACGGCGCCGGAACAGTTGGCGCGGGCCCGCCTCTGCCGAGCGCCCCCGGGCCACGGCCGAGAAGATGCCCGCGCAGCGCCCCCCGCAAGCAGCTCGACCGCTGCACGACCCCGCCCAGCGCGACGCGGCCCGGCCGCCTCCAGACGCCCGGCCCCGGCACAGCCCAATCCCCCTCCGGCTTCTCGGGGAGGCACCTGGGAGCGAGGGGCGCCGCGATCGGGCGCGAGATCCCCCTGCCCGAACGGTCGAGGTGGCTGGCCTATCCGAGGCGCGAACCGGCCGCGCCCCACTCCGCCGCGGCGCTCAAAGAAGAGTAGACTGGCGACTCGGACTCCAAGAGGGCCGACGGCATATCCGCCGTCTTCTGGCTCGTCACTTCGTCGATCCCATCGGCCACGGAGGTCGCGTGGGCCTCCTTTCTGTCGACGCCCGATCAAATTCCCTTGCCGAGTTTGAGCAGCTCGCAAGTCGCCAGCGCGACCGTCGCCGATGGCGGCGGGCGAGCCTCAAACTTCCGGCCCATTCGAATCGCCCTCAGCTGAGCTTGCCCCGTCGCTCCGTCGATTCCCCCCGGGGCGCGACGCCAGACGAGTCGGCTAGACCGCCGCTGCATATTCTCGGCGCATATGCGACTGGTAGGTCCGATCACCTCATTGGCAAGGCGATGTGCCTCTCGATGTCGTGGTTTTCGCAGTGTGATCCGCCGTGGGTTGCCCGGTCCAGATGAAGGCCACTGCGGCGAAGGCAAAGGCAGCGCTCTGCCCATCCTTCCGCCGTCGGCGCGCCACGTCGAGGCCCGGGCAAGCGAGCCTCTTCAAGATCGTCGGTCCCGAGGATAGCGGGCGACAGTGGCGGGGCGCAGCCCTCTTCTACTTCCCGAACGACGCGACCTTGCAGCCGTCGCGCGCGTCGCCTCGGGGGCGCTGCCAGGGCGCCCCCGTCTCGGGCGGGGGTCGCGAGCCCTCCCTTCTCGGAGTGACCGGGGACACCGGGCCCCGTCCAGGCCCCGGCCTGACGGGGCACCCTGGGCACGCCGACGCCACAGAGCCGCAGTGATACTTTTCCCGCGCTTGTGTTCCATCTTTGAGTGAGTCGCCACATCCGAGATGAGCACTTTCGGCGCGACGTCCACCAAGAAGCCAGGCGCAACGACCAGAATGAGGCGGAAAGCGCCGGCAGCGCCTGCGACTGCCGCAACCGTAAGCGCTCAAGTGCCACAGGGCGAGCTCCGCCTGGCCGTCGCATTTCAGGCCGGCGTGCAAGGATGCATAGGCGCTGCGTTCTCCAAGGGCGAAGTCCACCGTCGTGGCCATGGCCAAGTGGTGCTGCCACTGCTCGCCCTGCTTCCCTGTGGATCATCTGCCGCCAATGCCTGGTCGATAACGATCCCGCCGCGCGAATGCTCCGATTGATTTCGCCACCCGCCCTCTGGGCATCAAGCGGCAGCCTGGGGATGCCTGATCCCACGAGACCGTCCGTGAACTGGCTTCTGGCGGCATCGTTTTCAGCACTGCCATGATGATCTCCACGTCGGGTACGCCCGCGGTGTGCTCTCAAGCAAACCCGCGGGCTATCAAGGCGGCCTCAACTCCCGGGTCGAGATGCCCTCCTGCATCGCGTTGGTGCACTTTCTGCCAGAATCGTTGGCCCCACCACGGGGTCGGAAATGGCCAGCGCCGCGAAGGCCTCCAGCTCGCTCCGCACTGCGGCCGCGCATGTGGCAACGGCACGGCTGGCCCTGCGCTGCAGCTGGGGCGGCGTCGGGGCCGGTAGCCCCGAAGGCGGGGCGCCCGCGTCTCTGCCCAACCCCAATGACAGGGGGCCTCCCGCGTCCTCGCCGGAGCCGAACGCGTGAAGCGCGGACAGCCCGCCATGCGCGGCAGCCCAGAAACAGGTGGCCCGCCTGCCAGGCGGCACTGCCACAGCCGGGCCGACTGCAAAGGGCGCGGGCGGCGGCAGCCCAGGCCAGCAAGGCCAGCGTCGGCCGCGGGCGGCGCCCCGGGCGGCGGCGCAACGCCGCCTCCACAGCGGCAGCAGGGGTTCCTTCCGCTTGCCTCGCCGCGGGGCTGAACACGCCGGCGAGCGACCTCCTCGGACTCGCTGGGTCGCCGGCGGCAGCCGCTCAGCAGCCCCGCGCGCCATAAAGTTTCCGAGGTACCGAGGGCTGCGACGGCCACGGCGGCTCCCAGCCTGCACACGGCCACGCGCCCTCTGGCCGCGCCGCTGCAGGCGGCATGGCAGCCCCGGCCCGCCAGTCATCAGCAGCCAGCCCAGGGCCGACCAGCGGCTTGGGCCGCCAAGCACAGCTAGGGCCGAGCCGACCTCGGAAGGAACGGTCTGAGGAGCAGGTGACGCCATGTTCGATACGGTGCTGGGTGGACCAAATCCAGAAAACTTCGCTGGAAGACCTTCGTGATTGGATTGGCCCAGTAAAACTATGGAGAAGTACGGAAGGGACTTCCCCAGGTCTACATTAAGTGGCACTTGCTGCCCCCACGGTCTAATCATCATCACCCTCATCACCGTCATCATCATCGTCAGCGTCATCCTCAACATCAGCAGCATCATCGTCTTCATCATCACAATCATCATCAGCATACCAATTAGCAAAATCATCAATCACAGCATCATCATCCTCATCAGCATCATCACAAGCAGAATCATCAGCAGCAGCATCATCAGCATCAACATCAGCATCATAATCAACGACATCGCCAGCAAAAACATCATGATCATCATCAGCAGTAGCAGCATAAGCAGAATCAGCATCATGACCACGAGTATCATCATCAGCAGCAGCAGCAGCATCAACAATATCGTCATCATTAGCATCATCAGCCTCACCATCATCATCAGCATCATCAGCATCCGCATCATCATTGTCCGTATCCTCCTCACCATCATCAGCAGAAGCAACAACATCGTGCTCCTCCTCATCATCATCATCATCATCAACAACACCAACAGCATCATCAATCTTACCATCACCACTACCATCATCACCATCATCATCAGCAGCAGCAACAGCATCATCACCATCACCATCACAACCACATCACCATGACAGCATCATCAGCATCAGCATCAGCATCATCATCACCATCACCATCATCATCATCACCATCAACATCCTCATCCTCCTCTGTGTCTTGGAGGATCGAGAGGAGTAGTTGGGAGCTTGTTGGGCTGTTCTGTTCGAAGAAACCCTCAGGCGCTCTGGGGGCGCTGGGGCTCCTGAGCCTTCCCTTCCTCCATCATCTTCCGCCTGGGAGGCTCCGACTTGAAGAAGTCGTGCCGGGGGACGAACGGGTCTATGTGGGCCGCCTCGTAGAAAGCGAGAACCTTGCAGGCGGAGCGGAGGGGCGCAGGGAGCAGGAAGGAGCTGACAACGTTGAGGAAACTTAGGGGGGAAGGGACGGGGGGAGGAGGACGGCCCCCCGAGGCCCACAAGAAGCCCCCAAGGCGCTCAAGAAACTCGACCACCGACCATCGAACAGCGACGGCAACAACGACACCGACAACGACGACGACAAGCACGACAAAGACGACGACGACAAAGACGAAGACGACGACGACTAATGCGACAAAGACGACGACGGCAAAGACGACAAAGACGACTAAGGCGACAAAGACGACGACGGCAAAGACGACAAAGACGACAAAACGACGAAGACGACGACGAACACGATAAAGGCGACGACGACGACGACGAAGACGACAAAAACAAAGACGACGACAGACGACGACGACGACAAAGACAAAGACAAAGACGACGACAAAGACGATGGCGGAGATCGAGGGTTGCTTGAGGTGTCCCTGGCCCAAGATGTCCATAGTTTTCCGCTCCACTCTGAGGCCTCTGGGGACCTCTGGGCCTCACGAGGAATGGTCTGGAAGCCGTAGGATTACCTTGCTAATCCTGGGGGTACCTTGTCAGGTCTGCGCTGGGTCGAATCGCGAAATCAGTTGGGATTGGAAACTGAGCGGATCGCCAGCGAGTCATCCCGGATCGGATCGAGATCGGAACCCCCTTCCCCCAGCTGCCCCTGACCGATGTCGGTGAGTCGAGTCGAGCCGAATCGCAGAATCGCGGGCCCGCGAATCGACTCGCATCGCATCGCATCGAATCGGATCATCGGCGGCCCCGCTTGGGCCAGGGACACCTCTAGCACCCCCCCCAAGCAGAAACGTCCCCCCTGAAGTTGCCCCGTCGCCTTTCGCTCATGATTCGGCTCTCCAGCGGCCGTTGGGGACAATCTGGACAACTCTGGAACGCTCGCGGCGAGGCGCAGCTTCTGGAGAGCGTCCTGAGGCTGCAAACACCTCCGAGAAACGAACGAAGAACAGCCTAAAATCCTGAAACCTTGAACCCGATAACCTCGAACCTCAACCTATCGTTGGCCCTGATCGCCTCTCCGGACTTTGGATCTGCCATGCGTTGGCTGATTCTCCTATCAGAAACTCTGGCCGAAATGCACCAAGGAACCATGCGGAACAGTGGGGCGGAAACTTCCGCGCAAAAGAGATGAGGCTGATATCGCCGCGAGAATACGGCGGAAACGGCGACGGTAAAATGGAGCGGAAATCGGCATCAGCAGAGCACGAGAGCGCCCTGCTCACGAAATCGCCCCAAGGGTACGGCGGAGATCCGAAGTCAGGACCCCCCCCTGAGCCTGCTCCCCCCCTCGAGTGCCCTCACGGAGGAGGAGGGTGAGGAGGAGGCGAAGGAGGAAGCGGAGGAGGAGGAGGAGGTGGAGAAGGCGGCGAAGGAGGAGGCGGAGAAAAAGGAGGAGGAGGCGGAGGCGGAGGAGGAGGCGGAGGAGGAGGAGGAGGAGGAGGAGGAGGAGGAGGAGGAGAGACCCATTACGCCCCCCCTCTTCTCTGAAAAGCCCCTGCCCCTTGAGCCTGTCCGCCGCCCCCCGCCCCCAAACTTCGGTCGGGCATGTCCTCCTACAGGCGGGTTCTGGAAGACAAATAAAAAGCCAAACATAAGCAGAAATGCGCAAAACAACACGAGAAGTCGTCCCCAGACTGTCTTTTACTGCTCTCGAACAGTCCTCATGTAGGGAGACCTGCCCGACTAAACCCGAACGCCGTCCCCCGAGCGGAGGGCTAACGCGGCGGGGCGCCCCCTCGCAACCGGCGTAGACCTCGCCGTTCCAGCTCCTGCGGCTCGGGCGCCGCGCGGCGCTGCGCGCCCTCGACGGGCGCGCAGAGGCGCGTCCCCCACCCGCCCGCCCGCTGAGGGAAGAGGAGGGTGCGGAGGA